TTTTGAGTCCATTGAAATGTCTTATTTTTCTTCATTAAGTCATAAAGAGGTCTCATCAAGTCAGCAGCTTTTGGAATAAAGCGGGAATAATACGAAACAAACCCTATGAAAGAGCGTAGTTCTGTGAGGTTTGTAGGAGGTTTTGCGTCCACAATAGCCTGAATTTTCTCTTCAGTCTTCTTGATCCCTTCACGATCTAACTTATACCCTAGGTACGTTATTTCATCAGTCAAAAATTCACATTTCTCACGTTTGAGACGAATATTATTTTCTCTACAAATAGTGAAAAACTTCTCTAAGTTCTGAATATGAGTTTGCTTATCAGGGGAACAAAGCTTGATGTCATCATAAAAAATCTGAATTCCTGAAATTCCATTGAAAATAGACTCCATGGTACGTTGCCATATCGCCGGTGCACTGCTTACACCATACATCAACCTATTTACATTGAATAAGCCTAATGTCGTATTGATAGTCATGAGTTTTGACGCTTCCTCGTCTACCGGTAGATGCATATACGCTTCCCTAATATCAAATTTAGAGAAGTATCTAGCACCACTAACTTTGCTCAGAATTTCTTCAATTGTCGGAATCGGGTGTTCATCAGGAATAATGTGTTTATTTACAGTCACCCTGTAGTCCGCTACAAGCCTAATGTTACCATCCGGTTTAATGACTGGAATCACCGGGGTCGCCCACTCTGAATGGGTAGTTTTAGATATTAAATTTAAATTCTCTAGTCTGTGAAGTTCATCTTCAACCCGCTTTTTTAGCGCAAATGGTACAGGTCGAGCCCTACAAAATACAGATTTTGTATTTTCTTTTAAATGAAGGGAAGCTACAACATCCTTAATACAGCCTACTTCCTTGAGAAACAAATCCTGATAATCATTAACAAGATTTTTGATTCTATTTACAAAGTTGTCATCACTAATGTGTTTAATACTGGCCCAATTCAACTTAAAGGTATAAAGCCAATCCCTGCCAAAGACTGTGTCAAAATTTCCTTTCACAAGAAATAGTTTAGATAATTTCTCTTGTTCATCATATTTAACCTTAACCATAACATAACCACTAACTTTTATTTTTGATTTGTCATAGGTTACCAACAGTAGGTTAGATGGTTTAATCTGGCCTCCAATACCTAGATCATGAAATTTGTGCTCCGACATTACCGAATAGGTACTACCGGTATCCAGTTCCATCGATACCAATTTATCATTTAGCTTAACATCCAACATGATTTTTTCATGCGGATCAACACTACTTTTAATATGAAATATGTCAGCACATTCATCAACATTTGATTCAGTATCGCTCATGACATTTGAATGATTTGCCTGTAATGTACATACTCGGTTAGGCCTAGGAAATTTCCCACACACTTTTGCTAAATGTCCTACTTTTGAACATTTATGGCACTTAGAATTGGAATATTTACATTTATTGGCAAGGTGAAAATTTGATCCACAGCGAAAACAAACAGTAGTAGGTGAAGACCTATTAGAACCTTGTTTGAATGTGTCCCTATCTTGCTTAGAACCTGCTTCTCCCCTAAAATTGGTCGAACTTGACCTATTGCTCTTGCTGCCATAACTCTGGGTCTTTTTATTTGGAAAATATTTAACTCTATCAGAGGGACCTAACTTAGAAACATTTCCCTTCCAATATTTGATATCCCTAGCATGCAAATTCTCAACCCCTTTGTCAGCTAACTCGTCAGCCAAAGCCTTTTTCACCGCCTCATCAAGGGTTAGGTTAGGTGTCCTTAGAAAATAATTTTGGGTTTGCTTATTCCTAATACCTGTAGTGATTTGATCTAATATTTCTTCTTGAAGTCGCTCCTCCGTCTCAAAACCACAATGAACGCTGAGTTTTTTCAAACTACTTAAAAAATCATTAAATGATTCATTTTCTCCCTGTTTCCGAGCACGGAATCTTTGCTTTTCCACACTAGGTAGAGGTTTGGGTGAAAGGTGGGAACATAAGGATTTTTTAATTTGGTCATAGCTTAGTTCTTTGGGAGTTTTAGGCCATGAAATTGATTTTAACTTTTTGTAAATCTCCTGACCCACACTACTAATGAACAATAAAACTTGGTCAGCGGTACTCACCCCATTAAGTTCACAATAGCACTCAAACCTGTCCAGATACGAATCAAAGTCTTCTGCATTATTGTCATATTCTTGAAATAATTGAATCCTTCCGAAGTTGGAAGATGTGGGTGCTGTAGCCGTTTGTCCAAGTCCAGGTGTGGTTGGTTGCCCTTCTCCATCGTTCTTAGGCATCCTCGTCGCCAGTTTGTCGCATCAGGGAGTTGAAAAGAGACGCATCATCAGTGGTAGAATAAAATTGTATTTTGAAAGAGAGAAAACACCTGTAACAATTACAATTGCTGTAGCCTATTATAGCCTAATAAAATCTTAAGCTGTAAAATCATTTATTTGAAGTTATATTTATTTGAAATTTTAATATTGCAAATTTGGATTAATAATACAAAACAAAAGTATTAAACAAAACATTAAATGAATTTAGACACAATGTTTTATGTATATAAAATAGCAATTGAGGTTATGAACATGTGACTTTAGCCTAACATTATTAATAACAATATTCTTACCTTAAAAGGTGTTTGCTTGATACAGAAACATGTTAGAAGTACAGAAGAGATGAAATTTACAAAACTTGAAAAAGAAATTGAAATAGTTATAGCGATTAGAATTGATAATAAAATATGGCTAGGCCGAAAACATTAGACATCTCGTTGGCTGCATTACATCATTACAATCATTGGCGGAACATAGAAGAAGAACTAACGAACTTAAGATTTTCTATTGCTCAGTGCAATGCCATTAGAATTAGAACATAATCGGTGCTACATGATAACTCTTATACAATATAAAATATAATTTCTTCAAAAAAATAATAGATTTCTTCAATAATATAAAATAACAAAAATATATATAATTCTTCCAGTCTATATACAACATATGGTTTATAGGTTGCTGAGGAATGCGTACCTATATTGGTGCATATCTTCCCATTTAAATAGCATTAGGGCCTAAAAGGTACAGACTCCCCTGTTACAGGTACAGCTGTTACTGTATAGTGTGAAAGTTGGTCAACCATTGGAAGCACCTTCTAGGAATAAATCAAAGGCTTAGGGGTCAACCTTTTGAAGCCCTAATCAAAATATCCTTTTTAATTACCATTTTGCTCTGCGCAAGATCTTAAGCTTTAAAATGACACCTCAATCGTAACAATCGGAGAAGTAGGTCGGGTAAAAAAGGACTGTTACAGCTTAATGAATTAGGAAGATAGATAATGTTAAACAAGACAATGACATATCGATGCTGTATACTGGATATTACAAGACAATGCTTAACTGAAGAGCCGTTGATTTCCGGGGGTAGATGTCTGGGGGTAGATGTCTGGGGGTAGATGTCTGGGGGTAGATGTTTGGGGGTAGATGTCCGGGGGTAGATGTCTGGGGGTAGATGTCCGGGGGTAGATGTCTGGGGGTAGATGTCCGGGGGTAGATTTCCGGGGGTAGATATCCGGGGGTAGATGTCCGGGGGTAGATATCCGGGGGTAAATGTCTGGGGGTAGATATCCGGGGGTAGATGTCTGGGGGTAGATATCCAGGGGTAAATGTCTGGGGGTAGATATCCGGGGTAGATTTCCGTGCTATGGCAAATCACTTTATAATCAAACAATTACACGTTGATTATTTAATAATATATTGGGGGTAAATTTCCAGTCGCGGGCTGTTTTTTGACCGTGTATAGGCCCCGCCCCTCGTGACGTCAAAATGACGTAGGTGTTTTTTCATGGGGGTAAATATCCGGGGGTAGAAATCCGCTACCCCTCTCGGCAAACCCTTTAAAGTGTTTACATACGACGGTGTTTTTTTTTAAGTAGCAGTTTCGGTTCGAAAAGTTTCACATTACAGCATTGTTTACTTGATCATAACAACATAGTTTTACTCATAACAACACCATATAGCTGTCTCATATATGCGACGGCAAGTCACATTAGACTGAGGTCGCATATTTGCGTCGGTGTTCCAATTTTATCAAAACGGACCAATGAGGTTCAAGGATTGAGAGAGAAGAAGTAAAATTGTAATGATTTGAACTTCAACTAATCAGCTGTTCAGGTAAATTTAATTGTTGAATGGTGCAATTAGTGTTTGGTATTATGTTTTGTTGCATCACTGTCAGTGGCAATGAGAGGTTATAAACAAAAACATAACCTCTCTTAGAAGTTATGATTAGCGATTTTTAGTAGGCTAATTAAAACACTTTCGTAGTTAAAGTAGTGTACACAACTCATGTAAATAGTGTTAACAACACTCGTAGAAGTTTTTAAGGCTACTCGTGTCGTTAACACTATCTTTACGCAATCACTAAAACTACGGTAAATCACTATCTTTACGGTAAAGTAAACTACACCTGTGTTACTTATGACCCCTGGTGATGAACTACACTACACACCCTGGTAGATTCAATAATACTTACATTGCCTTCAAAATTTGGATCTAGTGCCGCTTCAAATTGGGAAACATGAGTCATGTTTCCTGCATGTTTTCTGCATGTTTTCTGCATGGTGACGACTGGAAAACTAACCAGTCAGCACCATATGTTACCATAAGTTTGTTGTAAGTGAAGTAGCCTAATGCATTTTCTTTATTTTATCTGTATAACAAAAGTTAAAAGGAAATTTACTAGATTAAGTCCCTGTTTTTTGGTACTTATTTCGGTTCCTGTTGTCGGCATTTCTCACTCTGTACAGTTGAATCGTGCGATTGTACTGTTTATTAATCTTTAAATACTTCAGGCTATGTAATTATTTGTTATTTCATACTTGTTACACGTCACTAATTTAAGATATGTTTCTAGAAAGCTCCTAGTATGTCTGACAATTTCTAAACTACTTACCTAACTAACACATTGATTTATGATTGTCAGTTAATAAGCTAAACTGTGACCTGTGTACAGAATGTACACCTGCTGCACTTGTTACCGGTTGGCGAGGGGTTGTTGACTCCATCATGCCTACAGCTGCGGAGAAAATCTGAGAACGACGTTAAGCTCATCGGACACACCCTTGTGGCTCACGAGTCGTGTTATCTGCTCACTTTGTGTAAGTTACATAAGATAATTGTTATAGCTCATGGGCTATTATTGTTTAATATGTTACTGTTTTAATGAATCACATCTTATTATCAGTATTTTTTATAACTGGCAAAGTCAACATTATCTTTTCATTAACTGAGCCAAATGGAAAGGAAAATTTATTGTTAAATGAACGGTAGCATCTATTATGAGCTGTCTCCAATATTTACCAAAAAAGAACATAGTCGAAAGAGCCAGTCATGTACTGCGCAAATGTCTGAAATTCTATTTTCCACCTTATTTTTGTTACTGAAATAATTTATGTGTCATAAAAGATGATATAGCTTATAGTAAGTTGTCCCATATCAGTATGAATTGGTTAAAAGTCGGCATATTCGACAGAAATTTGTAATTTACATCGCAGTCTGTTAGTGGCTTAGTTCAAAAACGTTAATCGTATTAAATTTAAAAACTGGCGACTACTTTAACATGGGGATGGAACATATCATCTATATATTAATAGGCAAGCATGTTTCTTTTAAACCTCTTTTCTCAGCTCTTGAGCATCGCAGGGAAAATCTACGCATACTGTTGGAAAGATATTTTCCTGTAGATGTGCAGAATCCCTTTATAAATAGGGATGGACGAGATTGGATTTTTAGTTTGAGACGAGACGAGACGAGATTTTTTATTTCTCATAAAATTTCGAGACGAGATCGAGACGGGATTTCCCTTCTCATACACAACGGGAAATGCACGTGCGGAATTTTTACCAGATTTTGTAACATTGTTAGATGACTGTTTAAATACAAAAATAATGATAATAGGCAAGAATATTTACAATCTTTTATTAAAAAACATCAGCATAACATTTTTTTATTAATCACGCCTAACTTATTAAAAATGCCTACGATTAGGAAACATAGTGATATCAGTTAGGATAGAGTTCAACTCATCCTAAAATAAAATAAATCATAAAATAAAATATTAATTTTTATAAAATAGTTACTGGTTTTGACTTTTTTTATAGTAATAAAACATTCCTCACACTGCTAACAAACACTTAACAAAACTTCTCAAATGTTATTAAAATAATTAAAGTAATATTTACATTTGAAGAATTAATTCAATAAGAACGCCTTCGCAAAGGAAACGCAACTACAACACGCTCCTGTATTGCGGGTATTGCATTGACTTTCTGCAGGCGTTTATATATTTTTTTTTTTTAATTCTCGTCTCGATAAAAATCTCGGCCAAAAAGAAATCTCGTCTCGTGTAACGAGATTTAAAATTTCCCGGAAATTTCCCGAAATTTCGAGACTTGACCATCCCTATTTATAAATTAAAATAGGCTCTAAAATAAGCACAAAAAATTAATTTAAAATTTGACAAAATTAACATGGATCTTATGAATGTGGCATGCTGGTGACGAAATATAAACAGAAAATCAAAACAAGGGGAAGAAACTCCAATCACATGTTTTATTTACAGTGTGGGGTAGGGGTCTGCGGTACAGAAAATTTAAGGTCGGTACGGTTCGGTACGGTACAATATATTGTACCTCGGTTCTCGGTATAAAATCGGTACGGTACGCGGCTACCCATATTTTTGCGGTTTTCTTCTCAGAACTGTATTTAAACCATTATTTTTAATCTTAATACATTGACATTACTATGAAAATGGATAGTATCCTACATTCATGGTTTAACTAACAACAATTACTGTACCACACATTATTAAAACCTTTTACTCCAAAGAGGATTGTGTCAAGAAAAATCACAGTTAAGATAAAGGCTTTACCTATTTTACTCTGAGATACTTTAAATAGCCATGATAAAGTGGTTTTAAAATCAGGATAAGAATGTTTAGGAATAAACATGTTTGAAGCATTAATTGACAAGATAATTTCACACAACTAACTGGTAAATTATTTCCAACCATCACAATGTCTAGTTGTTTTTTAACCCTTTGAGTGCCGGAGACTTTATGTCAGGTACTACACTAAAGTGCCATGTGAGTTATAACTAGGCCTACCCAAAAATGCCGGGCCCTTTTTGTGGCTTTTAGCAATACTTCAGTATAAACGCTATAACTTTTTTATTTATCAACCAATTTTATTAATTTTTTTTTATTTACAGAGAAATAACTATTCTACAATATAACACAATTTATAAGTATATTTCATGCAGCAGGCAGTGTGAAAATGATGAAAAATACATACCTTGAAAAGTTTTTTCAAAAAAATTCCATATTCAATGCTGTGTATCATGTGAGAAAAAAATGTTTCACTCAATAAAACTCATACCACTCTGTTTTATATTTAACTGCCAACAAACATTCCAAGTTTCATGAGAAAATAAAGTCAAATAATGAGGTAACAACGTTTTTAGTAATATCATACATTTTTCCTCGGCAGCACAGATATCACACACTAAAGTCATCATGGCCTCTTAGTCCTATTCTACAAATAATTTGGCCTAAACTTATACAATAAATTGTTTTAGTGCCAAATCTGAATGATAAAATAATAAAAAGTCATTTTGAGTAAAATAATAACATACAAAAAATATTTACAATAAGGCGGAACTGTTGGCGAACATATTTTAGCAGTGATGTTGAGTGACACACTTATGGTGCAATCCTTTTTTGCACCTTTTGCACATAAATGTGGATTTCTTTCTCCTTCCACCTTCTCTTGTACTTGCTTTGCTGCAAACACAGCAGTTTTTTTCCCGGTTTTCTGGAATTTTTTCAACTAATGGGCTGTCTGCGTCGCCACCACCACGGGAGATTCCGGTCGGAGTTATGTTAGTTATGTCAGTTATGTTGGGTCTCATTTCTTGGATAACTAACTATTCTTTGGCCAGTTCCTCTACAATAAATATACTGTAGGCCAGCCTGTTCATTGGTTTATCAGTGTTAAGTTTGTACAGCAGGTAGGAGTTGAGGAGCATACAGCTAAAAATATTAAACGTGACCTTCTTCCAAAATTTTAAAGTTTTTCTGTCATCTAAGTATTGGTAAAGCATTTGGTCACAGCCATCTACTCCCCCCATGAAGTCATTATAGTTTCTAATTACTTTAGGCTTATTTGTGACATGAACTGACGTCCCCCTTACCCTTGCCCTTCGCTCACTCTCTGCTTTGCCATTGGTTGTTAGTAATAGGACTTGGTTTTTCTGTGATTTTTTTTGCCTATATCCTACCATTAAGAGGTTGTCTTTCCTCAAATACTTTTTCTGCCCTACTTCAAATTTCTCTTTCATTACTTCTGGTATTCCTTTTCTTTTCTTTCGCAATGTACCTGTGAGGTTCGTTGCCTGAGTAAGCAAAAACTTTGCTAGTTTTATTGTGGTAAAAAAATTATCCACAAACACGTGGTACCCCTTGCCAAGTAAGTTTGTCATCATCAGTAGTTTCTCAACAACATAGAAACCAAGGCCCTTCTGTGTTATTTCCCTTTTGTTAGGTCGTTTAGCTCCACGATACACAAAGAAGGACATACAGTAGTGTGTGACAGAATCACAAATGCACCATAATTTAACGCCCCACCGATGTCTCTTTTTGGGCAAATACTGTAACAACTGGGAGTGGGCCTTGGTGCTTACCATGCTCTCATCAACTGAAAGGTTCTCACTAGGAGTAAAGTGAAACCTAGATACCCTATTCATGTGGTCAACTATTGGTTGAAATCTAGCGCACGGGTTATACCCAGGTTCGCGCGGACGAGGCAGTTCTGTTGTGTCAACCAAGTGGAAAAACTGGAGGATTGCTTGAAATCTGTTCCTATTGAACATTCTTGGAAACCAAGGCATAAACTGACTGCTAGTCCTTGACCAATAGCAAAATATTGTAGGTTTTACATTTAGGCCCATATTTAGTAGCACTGCTACAAAAGCCTGCATCTCGATTCGAGTTACCGGTCTCCAGGACTTGGCCCTGCTATGTTCTTTGAGTTGGTGGGCATTTGCAGTAATAAAATTATTAGCAAATTTGTTTGTATATTTTACTAGCATATCAAACAAAGCAACAGTAAAAAATAGTTTGAAATAATCTATTGGAGATGAATTCCTAGGGGGGCAGTGTTTCACGCCAGACAATTCATGAAAAGTAAACGGATTATTGCCGCCAGGGTCATTTTCTTCATTTACTTCTGTCCAACCAGTTCCATCCTCACTATCCTCATTATTTTCAAGATTTTGTTCTTGGTTAGGTGCATCTAACCTAGGTCTACCCCGACGTCTTGGTGCAGGGTTTGGTGCTGGCATAGGCCTAGGATTTTCCACTCTATCCTCCTCCTCATCTGTTGAATAATTATTATTACCAAAGGACTGTAATATCCTATCTATCCTACGTTGATTGTTACCTTCATAGGGGTCGTAATCGGGGTCACTATCGGTATCATCCACAAGATCAGAAATTGAGTCAATGTCAGATTCGGCACCAGAACTACTTTCAATTTCAGAAACCTCACTCACAAAACTATCATCTAAAAAGTCGTCATCTAGAGTTCTTGCAATTGCATTGTCACTTAGTGGAGATCTAGATCGATCCATTACTAATAATCAATAACAAAACGTCTCGTAAAAACACCGCGCATAACCAAACACTTGTTTACAGACAGTGAAATACGATGTCAACAATTACGCGCCAGCTGTGACAGCCATCTTGATCTCTGTGTTACAACATATGAAAACGTAGTACTATAACAAGTGAATGATTACAATTATCGCCGATTCAACGCATTATTTACAAAGAGGAAGTCTTTCTCTTTCAAAAGAATATAAAATATGTGCATATAATCGTCTTTTTCGCATTTTAATATCGCGTTTTTCAAACGTCCGGCTAACCGGACGTTGGCACTTTTGGCTCGTTCTGAAAACGTCCGGTCACCCGGACGTTGGCACTTTTGGCTCGTTCTAAAAACGTCCGGTTCCCCGGACGTTGGCACTCAAAGGGTTAAACTTAAAAACATATAAAAGCATTCAGTACAAAAACAGTGTAGTTGCCAGCTGTTGCCAGCACATT